TGCTCCGGCCGCCCGTCCCATTTCAGGTGGGAAGGCAGGCGCCTAGGGCTGCCTGAGTTTCTCTTTCCATTGTTGTTTTGGGGCTGAAAAAAGGCCTTGGAATTAATACAACTAATTGAACTCTCATTTAACAGTGGGTTTGATTGTTCTTATTTTATTAGACCAAAAGGCACTGACATATTCGCTTTTAATTCTACTATTCATTTATTTAAAAAAAGATGAGTCAGAACGTTAGTGAAAAAGAAATGAAGCATTACCACTCTACAGTCATTTTTAAGCAATTTGCACTTTCAGAACATATCTGAGTCTACCTTTTTTTCTTTTTCTTTTTTTTTTTTTTTGATCTACAAGGGTGATTGCACTGATTACAAACTATACGAACTCTAAAAATGAATGGTATCTTCACATTTAAATGTTAGAAGAGAGGGAAAGGAAGACAGAGAATGAATTAAAATGTGTTTGCTACACACACCCCCGATTTAGAAAGAAAAGAAACAAGTAAGAATGGAAGACAACTGAGATGCAAAAGCTCCACAGCAGCCCACCTAGAACCCTGTTTAGGGAACTTGAATTTAGGGAATGGCTTTTACAATCTGGGGGCTACTGTGGGGTGAAGTCACACACATGGACTTCCGGACACAGGGCAGAAATCTCAGTTTCTAAGCCATCTGATATAAACATTGAATTCCCATCTCCACATTTTACCACTCCACCTTTGGCTAATTCTAAGAATAGAAGAAAAACTATGAATAAACCAGTAATGCTTAAGTGGACAGATCTAAAAAAATATCTATTAATTCAACACAGCCTTAGCATACTATATTAGAAAAGAAAGATTTACATGCTTGATAGGGAAGCATGAAAAACACACACAAAAAAAATTGTTCTAAGAGACAAATCAAAACAGTTCACAATTAGTTGTTTTGATCCATCACAAACAAAAAAGTAAATCTCATCAGAAACGTCAAAAAATTAAATATCATCAGTAACTTCACATTCAAGAATCAACACCACCAACTACTTGGCTGTATCCTTAAAAAAGACCTAAACATACCCACTTTTCTTACTATTTCTCTAGTCATAATATTACATTTAATGCTGCCTCCTTTCACAGGAGGTTCAGAAAATCATAGTAATGTAAGGATTTCTTTGGCACCTACTGTAAAGAGGCAGCTTTAGTTCTTTTAATTTAATGTTTAACACATTTCTTTCTTTACTCCTAAGAATAAAACATCTTCATGGCAACAGAATAAAAATTCAAATCGTACAGGAAGCAAAAAGGGAAAAAGAAAAGGTTCCCTCATCCTCCACTCCTAGGAGTAGATCACTACTACATACTTCCTGTATGTACCTCCCAGAAATATTCTATGCACATATCAAGTTTCTTTTTACACAAGTGGATAATACTAGCCTAAGTTTTCTGGAATAACTGTTTCCCTCCACAATGGACATTTTCCATATCTACCCATTCTTTAATACTTGTGTGGATTCCTCTATACAAGCATGCCATGATTTACATGACCCGTCCTTCTCAATGGATACTTAAGGAGTTGTTCCCAGGATTATTTTGATTTTATAAAATGTTACCATGAACAGTCCTAACTTTCAGATATATTTGTGAGATACAGGGCAACATGTAGAACATGGGTTATAGGCTAAAGTTTGGTATCAGATTGCCTTACTTATGGGTTGTCTCAACTCCCACCTAGAGAAAGGTATCTAAGTTCAGCTATTAGTAAATATGACCGACACTTCTAAAAAATAATTTTAAGGTTCTTTCTGTACATAGTTTCATTAGGAATTTACCACCAAGGAGAATAGGAGATTTTTAAGTTTTTGTAAGCAACCTAATTTACATTTCCACCATCGCTTTGAAGCAAATAAAAACCTGCAATTTTCATTGATCAACAAAAACAAAATTAACAATAAATAATTTTTAAATTGAGGCACAAGACAGTCCAGCAAACAGAGTACCAGCTGCCATAAACTGAACATAGCTAGCCATAACCAAAATGAAGGACATTTGCATCATTACTGTTAATACCCTAAAATGTTCCATTATGTTAAACATTAAGTACCTCTAAAGTCTAGATTAAATTTCTTGCCAACTCATCACTACTAATTTAAGAAATGGTTTTTAAAAAGCAGCACTAAATTTTGCATGGAATCTAACATGTCAATATAATTTTAAAAATATATACTATATAATTAAAGAACTTTCCAAAAACCTCACTATTGACCAAAAAATGGCAAAGTATTCATAAAATAAGAATTGAGCTTGAATAACATAAAACAATTACTTTAAAACAGATAAAAAGAGAACAAAATAGTAAAAAAGAGTTCTATAAATCTAATACCTCGAGATATTATAATTCCTGTATTATTCTCACAGTTTAAAAAAATGTAATTTGTATTAACTCGGGTAGTTTAATAGAGTTAGAATTAGGAGACTGTAAAATCCAACATGATTTAAAGCTTTTGTGTAAATCTGGCCCCTGGGAATAAGAAGTTTTAGTTATAGAGCTTTCAATCACCAAAAGAACACTTAACATAGTGTAGCTAAAGCAAATATGAAACAAAGTGTTCTCCTGATTTCCCAAAGTAACACAGCTGAAAGTACATGCTCTCTGTAGCTTGCCCCAGTAACTTTTAAATTACCACAAGTGCTACTATTCACTCAATACTTATTAAACTGTTACTGAAAATCATGGTGCTATGTCACATTCAGGCATACAGGAAACAATGAACTCTGCTAAAATGAGAAGTGAATATAAATGCTATTTTTATAAAGCACAACATTGTTAACTAAGGAACCAGAGGTTCCACAAAGAAAGGTGACTTTGAACTGAGTACGTGAAGATGTGTGAGATTTGAAAAATAGAACATGTGTGTTTGTGGGAGTGTGTGTGAGAAAAGGTAGTATACCAGAATTTGAATTGCAAACCATAAAAATAAATTCTGGCTCACTTAGAGCAAAATATGTATTGACGAAAATTATTAGAATTTCAGATAGCACACAAATTGGTGAGAAATGGGGGTTGGGAGGAGCCGGGGGCAGGCAGGGTACAGTCACCTGAAACAGCCGCAGCAGAAACGTGACAGAAATAGACTAGTTAGGATGCCATGGTAACTGTCATAGTGAATAAGCCCTAATCGTCCTCCATCTATATGTCCTGCCTCATGATTCAAAGGCTAAGAAAGGACTCTACTGGGTCAACTGGCAAAAACTCCATAAGATTGGATAATAGCATTTAGTCAGTGTTAGTTCCCTGACTGTGATAATTGTGCTGTGACTATGTAAGAAGTGTCTGCTTTTAGGAAAATACTCAACTGTTTAGAAGTAAAGGAATATCACATCTACCATTTATACTGAAAGACTGAAAAATATGGGAAAATAGTGTGCTTTGTATGTGGGAGAGAGTGAAATGGAAAGAGAGAGGTGCAGGGTCCAAATCCTTCCAAATGAACTGACCATCTTCCCCACAAAGCCTGTGTCCACATTTACTGCAGAACACGACACTGTTTAATCCCACCAGCTGGAGATAATCCCTATTGTTTTCTTCTTTCTTTTTTTTTTTAAAGATTTATTTATTTATTCATACAGAACTGGGGTACAGGCCAGAGATGCGGAGGGTGAGAGGATTCACCAGAGACAGAGTGGGGAGCAGAACAGAAGGATCGATGAAATACACTGCTGAGGGGAGCAGCGGGCAGGTCAGGAGAGGTCTGCCATGCCATGTGGATCACCTCAGGGCAGGTGGGATGGAACTCGGAAGTGGCTTAAGCTTCTTAGTGCTGTGCTTTTATCCTGCTGTGCCACCAGGGAGGGCCCCCTATTGTTTTTTTTCTTTTAAAATATTATCATAACATCTTTCCAGCACACTGGGGTGTAGGCCAGAGGTACAGCGGGGAGCAGAACAGGCATATCTACTGAAATATCCTGCTTAGTGGCCAAGACAGGAGAGGTCTGTTGCACCATGTTGATCACCGACCTGGCCAGGGATCAAACTCAGGTCTCAGTGGCTGCTGACAGCTAACTAAGGCTGAGAGTTAACCCCTGCGACACCAGGGAGGTTCTTTCTAGCTTTAGATGGAAAGAATATACATCAAAATGTTAGCAGTGGTTATTTCTAGGTGGAAATATTACAGGTAATTTTTATTTTCTTCTTAGTATTTTTCTATTATTTAACAGACATAAAAAGTTTAGCCTTAGGAGCCTGCTGTATCTCTGATCAAAAGGGGAAAAGGTAAAACGATTTTGATAATAAAGGAGGCATGTTGAAATAGGTCATACTTGAAATCAGTCTGGAAGTGAATAAATCACATAATGGAGACCATCATGTCTCCATGGAAGTAGACATCACCCAGGAGGAAGTAAAAAACATAAACTGTAAACTAAGTGTCAAAATCGTAAAAGAAATGATCAAAACAGCCTCATGAAATGACAGAATCTCACATTTAACTAAATATTTATTACTTTTTGCCTTCTTAATAAAACTCTTCTGTATGTGTTCAATCCTAAAGTGACATCTTTACAAACAAACTTAAACATTTAAAAGTTAATTTAAATATTTAAAATGTTCCTCCCCCTCTCTCCCACCCCGCCACCCATTCCCAACCCCCCAGTCCCGCCTCCCCCAGTGTTTTGGCTCCATGAACAAATCTCTTGTTCCACAAAATAAAACTCTGACCTAAAGGACACGTTTTCTTCCAAACAACAACAACAAAAAAGTTATCTTATAATTAGAAAGAGTAGAAATGGGTGCTTAAAAAAATACAGTAGAATAAAATTCTCTTCTGGAATGGTGTAGTAAGGGCCCCTGAAAATCCACTCCACTACAAAAGCAAGAATACTTACAAAAATTGTCAAAGTCAGTGCTTTCAAATTAAACTGAAATTTAGGAACTCTGCAATTAAGCAAAGACTTGCAATGATCAAAGGAGCATTTCATTAAAAAAAAAAAAAACCACTGCTAGATCTCTGTAAGAATAGCAATTTGCCCCATTCCCATTCTCCTCTCCCATTCCCAGCTCCACAGTACCTTTGAAAACCAGCAGCCTCACTGCTACCGTGCCTGTGAGAGCCTGCTGCCAGGTGCTGCTGCACAAGGCAGACACGTAGATGAAGGCCCCAATATCTGACCTGCCTGGAAGCTCCATTCTGAAGTCTTGTCTTTGCTTGACTAGACTTAAAGCTCACTCTGTGCTATCACCAGGAAGTTTGGCAAAAAGAGCAGCAAAGGCTTATATACCATAGCTACCCAGATGGGGCTCAAAAGGGGCTGAAAAAAAAAAACTATAAGGTAAAACTGGGGAATGAGTTGCTTAAAAGAGCTTGGTAAAATACTAACATATTCCTAGGAACCCAGGTGCAAGACTGGCCATGCCTGGGAAAGGTCTGAGAAGGATGAAATCTCTTACCTATGGTTCCCTTTGAGCATCAAAGCAAGCAAAAAGGAAAAGTTAAGGCACAGAAAGTTCCCACTGGAGCACTGAAAACATAACCTAAAATGCACAAAGAGCCCCTCAGCAAAGGGTGAGAGACTTAATGTTTCAAACATTTAAAGAAAATTTAGATGAAAAGAAGTCAAATTATTCAATAAGTATATAAATTCTAAATATTCTACACATATATATTCAAGAATATGTGTGAATAAATGTGTAGTTTTGCACTTGACCTGCACACTCTGAAAAGACCCTGCATGACAGAGGGCAGAGAAGCTATTAGAACTATCTCTTACTGTGTTCATCTAATTTCAATCTTTACAAGATTGTACAAAGTAGACACTCTAAATGACTTGTACCTATGAAAAACTGAGTCAATAAATGTAAGCAACTTTTCTGAATTTTTACAACCAATAACTGTGTTGGAAGTTAAGATTCTAACCAGTCCATCTGATAGACCCTAAAACACTTACTGACCACTGTGTAGTCACACTCCCTAAGAGAAAGGGGAAAAGCTTCAGACTTTCTGAAAAGCCAGAGTCCAGAAGCTGCGATTTGAGTTTGGGCTTTAGGCTCTCAAATCTCTATCTGGCAGTGAGGGCAAGTCCTTTATGCAACCATGAAGTAGGCACCCACAAAGCCTTCAAGTTTTCTTGCAGATTCACACTAAATCTGAACATCAGAGTCAGTTTAGAGTAGTTACTGAAAGAACAGACCCTGGAGCCAAAATTCCTGGGTAGAATCTAGGCATTGCAATTTGCTCAGTGATAATGGAAAAATTATTTCACCTCTCCTAACTGAATTACTTAGCTGTCAGTTTTCTCAGCTCACTCTAAGTGCTCAATAAGTGTGTTAATATTATCACTACAGGAAAGGGAAAAAATTCCAAGGTCAGCCAGCAGCCCTTGACTTTCTCTCCAATAGGCATCAAAAAGATAAAAATATTAAACAACTTGGGGGGGAGGACAATTATTATTATAGTTAAGAATTTTAGTCTCAAAATTATTACCTCTCCTGTCAAAGTTCAAATGCTATGGTAAACACTCCACCTGGGAAAGAAGTGATCATTCTTCTCCCCTAAAAGCTCCCCCACCTTTTACCCTCACCCTAACCCTACAGGTTTGATCCTGACAGCAAACTGCCCACCCAGAGTGCCTGGCATCTCTGTACTCAACAGGCAGGGTGGGGGCCAAGTGCCCGCTGGCTCTCCCCTGCGGTTGTTATAGTAGGGACAGCCCCAAGTACAATATACTTTAGCGGGAGAATGGAGATGGAGATCAGTGAAGATAGGTAACCTTGTGGCATAGGCTCACCCAAGCTCTGACTGCCTTTGTACCATCTACAGAGAGACTGGTCTAAATATGGAAGATCAGCAGGTGCAAAGTACTCCACAAAGTCACTCAGCAGTATTACACTAAAGGTTCATTTTGTCTAGTTTTCCATTTATAAGCCACGTGTATGTAGTAGTCTTAAAAAGCAGTGTTTATGGCCCTCCCTGGTGGCACAGCGGGTTAAAGCACTGCACGTTAAAGCACTGCACTGTAGAAGCTAAAGCCACTTCGCAAGAGTTCGATCCCCGCCTGCCCCGGAGGCGATGCACATGGC